CTGCGGAGGGAGAAAGGCCGGCGGAGCGGTAAGTAAACCGCTCTCGATGTAATCAATCGCGGCGTACCCTAATAATCAAGCGCATTGATGCTCGATTTTTTCACGTCGGCTAACGACGCCGCGAGCGCGCGGACATTATCGGGCGAGCGTGTAATTAGCATTAATCCAGAAATTATTATTAATTGTTCGGTGCTCACGGGCCCAACAGCCCGAGCAACGGTAGTCTCTTTCCTAGCGCGCGCGCAAGGAATAAAGCCTTTCTCCTCTCTGGCGCAAACCAGTTATCAGCGAGCAGGTGACCCGAAAAGGATACCCGCTCGCGCTGATTTCTAACATAGGTGAGCTCGTAAATCTATTCGTCGACAGGGCAGCCGGTCTATATCGCCCGATCACAAGGACGTTAATTAACGGACGACTAATATATCGATTACTTACCCCGGATTGCGATTACCGCTTAATGCGAAATTATGGCTTCCCGGCTCTATAGGGTTTCACGTTCCGCGCGCGTTTTGCAACGTACCAAGGCAAGTTTCTCGCGAGCAGTGAGGTAATCATAAGCAGGTACACTCAGGTGGGTTATGAAAATAATTTACACTTAATAATATACTCTTTAATTACGTCGTTTTGATTCTCGCAGATCTCAAAGTGTGATAAGCTCCCACCTCATTTTCTATATTACTACATCCTTGCGATTTATGTAACTCTTTCGATATCCAGTTTTGTATATAAATTATTAGATTGTACTTTGATGTCTTTATCATTTTTTTTTCTTTATAATTTTATAGCATTTATCTATTCCTGCGTCTGGAGTAAATTATTTCTTCTTCAATTTTGTGAAAAACTCGTAATTAATAACGCTGGCAGCATTAATTATATCGGCGGCATCATATCTTTTACGCAATTGTTAAATATGAGTCATGCATATTATCTAAGAGGGCCCTTCGCGCGTTAAAATCGCCAAGTTGAGAACCAGCGAAGTAACCCGTAAGTTAGAAATCCAAACGGTAACAAGAGGTTACGTTTAGGGGCAGTAAGCAGTAATGTATTCCGTTGGAGAAGTGAAGCATGCATATTCTAGATATATTATAAATAATTACTCAATTATATCTTTGGAAAGGCAATGAATAAAGATGTCTGTTGCCGAGCTGTAGGCAAGGAGAGGGCCGGCAAGCTAATAAAAAAAACTTGCGTTGAATATTCAAACGCAACAAACTAGGTACACGGGGGTGCTAGGAGGCGGGCGGGAGGTGGGATGCAGGGGGTGGCGCGGGGAGAGGGAAAGCTTATTTCAAATGGAGATCCATATTATACCCTCTTCTTACCAGAACGTACTTTTGTTCCCAGATTTCGCGATTTTCGCTGTGCTCGAGTACGCCGGGTGGTTGGAAAGAGGGAACGCACTTGAATTTCTAAACGGCACTCGGGGGCCGCCTATAAACCTCGCAATAAACGCGATCGTTTTATCGATGACTAATTATTGTATTAATCGATGCTCGCGAAAACGCCTATCGAATGCGTGTGCCATGGCGACCGTCTCCATATTTGAGTTCGCCGGGGGTGTAAAGAGATGAGATACTGATTGGATCCTTATAACGAGTTACGAAGTTCCGGTAAATCAGGCGTGTGATCGATTCGCGAGCGTAATAATTTCTTGATTCTGGTAACGGATTGGATATCGGTGACACGAAAATTTATACGATCAAATGAATTCACGCAGGCTGGGTAGTGACAAAGTGCAAGTACGTGACGCAATTCCGAATTAAAGTCGAACAAAATCAGATGCTTCTTCGATACGTCGTTGCGATATTACAAATACGAACGCATTGCATTTTCAAATGCAAATTCGATAATCTTATAGATAGCCATCTGTATGAAAAATAGTAGAATATATTCTATATATCATCTAGACATAGAGATACGATGTGCTATGTGTATTATATAAATACACAATAGAAATTTCTATTTTCGCTATTCATAGATCGACTTCAAATTTGTCGAAACGATGGGAGAAATTGGTATCCGGAAAATGATTTGACAGATTACGATACCCTGTATAAATATTTGGAATATATCCGAGCAATCTATTCGAGGATGGTGTACAAAGCTAACTAAAAGTTCTATTTCAGTTTACCTGATATGTCCAATACGTCACTTAAAGATCGAGGAGACGTGTTTAAAGCGGCGCCTGTCGCTTTAAACACGCGGCGTCTGATGCTTCTGAAACTAAACCGACACGAATCGTTAACGTAATTCGCGCGTACCATTTATCTGTTAGCCGCGTCTAGCCGCGGCTGTTCTTCCCGCATTCACGCTGTTGCCATACATACGAAAAGGTCGAAAAACTTTATTGAGGCATAAATTTGCCCGGGCGGACACGATAACTTTAAAATATTACGGAAATGAAAAGCTTTCGCCGACGCGTGCAATGTTTGCCTCCTTTTCCGCGAAAGATAATGCAACTACGGGCCGGATTTACGGGACGTTGTTTTGTAAGTGGACCTTTCTCGTCGGCGAAAGATACCGTGGATTTAAAGCCGGCTAAGCTACTTTTTCTCACTTGTTCGCGACGAAATGTACCCGACGAATTTTCTCACGAATATATCAGGACATACTTCAATGCATTGAGCGTAATTTCCACTCACTATAAAATTTAATAAGCAAGTGCCGCAATTATCCATGATATAATAATAATAATTAATGCGTTAAATATCTGGTAAATATGTATCACTATATGGTATACAATAAACACGTCTTATTGTTAGATCTTGCTATTAAAACGTAACGAAGAGATCTAGCGATACTAAAATTATTTAATTACAATAAGTCGTATGTATGTAATAATCTTTGCTCGCTCCGAATAATATTGTCTTTGGTCTAAATTGGATTGTAAACTTCCGAGAAACGTCGAACACGAGAGCCACTCGAGTCTCCACGAGTCCCGCGCACTCGAAGTCAAAGAAACCCCGTCGTCTCCGGGATTTTCGCGCATGAACGAAACAATATTTTCATAAGACGCCGAGCTTAGGAATCGGCATTTCCGCCTCGACGATTTTCCGCATGCACAGATAAGGCCACCCTCTACCGGACGTGATTGGCTTCTGATAGAATTACGAAGGGTGGACACACGGGACTGCTACCCCAATCCCATATGTGTGTACGTGCGTGTATGTACGTATGTGTATATGTGTGTGCACGCGCGCGCGCGCGCGCGCGGCACCGTTCGGAACACATACTGAGAGAACCACAAACGACCCTCGCTTAAAACAAAGGACAGAGGATGCTGCGTCGCTCCGGCGCATCTTCATATAGTCGGGATCATATTAAGTTTATTTTTTGTCCCTTCGCATGGAAACGGGAAATTGATGAGGTCCTTTCTATGGTGTATAGGGATATGGAGAGTATGTTGTGTGTGCTCTCTCGTGTTCGGCGGCCGTAAGAAGCAGCGACGTCGATCGTTTCATTACGGCGAATAGAAATTGCGCGCGATATATGTATATGCATGACGTTTAATTCGGGTCAATTTTACTGCAGATTTGATTCTAATATTAGATCCGTGTTATTTATGAATTATATCTGAATAGAATTATACCGGGGGACTATACGTATATGCACATGCGCACACATCATTTACTAGAATGACGTGCCGAATTTAGCTCGAGCGAGACAGAGTATTCGAATATTTCCCAATATTTCATATTAGTTATTATTTGAATAAAATTACACTTGCACAGATATAATTAAAATAATCACAAATGTTACTTATATTTAATCCGCCCCTAGACGAATTCAACGGATATGGATAGAAGACGATGTCGCTTCTAATATATCGAACGTAGTAGGGTAGGGAATGCGAATGGGGTCCCGAAATTGAAAGATTCGTACGGCATTCATGCCAATTTCCTTTCGATGCGATTTCATAATTTTATTGGCAATTTACGATCCATTTACCGCTTGCGTACGCGGATCGCGCAGCCGCTACTGGCCGCCTTCTCGTTCGCGTACCGCCACGACTTGCCACTTCCTCACTTGCGTCACCCATATTTGAGGGTCAGGATATTTTAGGGTTACTCTCCGAAACGGAATCTTCGTCCGAACGAATTTACGAGTGACGGCGCGGTGATTCGATGTACGACTCGGTCCACGAAGGGTCTTCCCGGGGGGGTGTTCGCGTAATTACGCAGTCCTAAAGCGGGCGAATATTATCGAAGCCTCGCAGCAAATGTAATTTGAAAATCCTTTCGGGGTTTCCGTCGGATGGAAGGTGAAAATATTATTTTTTTTCTGCGATATCGCCCCGGTAGTAACGCCAATGAATTTTGAATACCGCGAATGGAATATTATCGGCTCGTATTCCGGAGTTTATAATGCACTTTATCATCAATGAATTTAATCCGGCCAGTTGCTACCTTTCCGCGAATTATTATTTGACATTCTCCCGACTTTGTTACAGAAGTACAATTCTTTAGTGCATTTTTGATGTCTTTGTAACAATGTAATCTTTCAATCATAATTTTTTAGTCACAATACAACTTGATATTAATAATTTAATATATTAAAATGTTTTCAGATATAATGTCATCTAATTGGATATTAACTAATTGCATCTTTTTCTCTTTCTCTCTATCTATCTATCTTGTAATTGTATTATGTTCAAATGCTTGAGAAAATCCTTATTCTAAAGTTTAATAAATAACAAAATCTATTTACATATTTTAAGATTGCATTAATCTTTTTGAAGTAAAGATGTTGCATGTTAAACACTATAATGTTTATTTATCTAATGTAAAAATTTTTATTATTTTATAAAAATTATAATAAAACATATATTTAGAAAATGTACATTTTGTCAGTTAAATTTTTTCAAAAGTATGTGTCAGTTTTTAAAATTTAAATAAATTTAAAGATCCCTTATAATTAAAAAATATCAGCTGTCCTCTTGTTTCTATCAAGCAGGGACAGTTAAAGAAGTTATCGAGACGCGTTGATTGTACGACACTTACCCTCTTGGAAGCGCTTTCCAATCCCCGAAGAGCCACGTTTGGTTAAACCGTCTATTTTCGCGACGGACTGTACCCGCATGCCAACAGCGTCGGTCGCCTGAAAGTCGAGCACATCATTTTATCTCCATGATAAATACGCTACATTTTATGCGCATTATTTTGCGCCCCCTCCATCCGCACGTGAGAGCTGCCCAAACCTCCGATCCATCCCCCGTGCGGCCCCGCGCCACCCCGCTCGCCTCCTCGTAGCGTTTCTCACCCCCTCGAGCGACACATACGTGCAACGCGGTTGTATCTCTCCATGCTCGTCGTTCGCAACCCGACGACCCGCTGCCCCGCCGCCCTCCGGCCTCCGGCCTCTCTCAGCACCGCCGCCTCCTCCGCCACGTCCTCCAACCCCTTCCTGTCCTGCTCTCTCGCGCGTCCGTCCGTCCAGCCACCGCCACCCCGTACACAGCCCATCTTTTTTAATGTTAGGCAGTTATAGACGCTGCGCGCAGCGCGAGCTGTCCCTCTCCCTTTCTCTCTTTCTCTTCGCCGCTCTCCTCGTTCTGTCTATTGCACTCTGCTTGTTTCTCGCTCCTTCTCGCTGTCACTGCCTCCCTCTCCCTCGCTCGCGCGCTCTTTCAAAAAAAAAGAAGAGGACTTAGGTCAATTTTTATCACACAAACCGGCCGACCGAGCGGCGCCCATAAAAAATGCCTCTTTACGTATGGCGATTGGTCCGCAACGGGCTTCGGGGGTAATGCCGAACCGCTCTCTCTTTCCCTCCTCCCCTCGCGGCCTGCCCCCCGCCGTTGGCATCTCTTTCCGACGCGCGTCCTCCGGTTCTCTTCCCGTCCTCTTCGTGCGCTCTCTTGCGCTTCTCTATCTCTTTCGCCCTTTCCTCCTTTTTTTTCGACGCGGGGAAAAAATGCGCGCCGCCCGTCGATTGGTCGAGGGGACAGATGACGTAGTGAGCGACGTGCCACCCCCCGGCTTTGGGGGTGGGGATGCACGCGAGACGGTGGTGAGAGGGCGCGCGGTTGAGTGCGAGCGCCGGCACCGCCGGGTGCATATATCGAGGGGGTGTTGCATGCCACGGTGCGGAGGGGGAGGGTGACAGGGAGAACCTCAGATCGAATTGGAAATATTATTATACGAAAAGAACCCTCGGAATCTCCGTGCGAGAAAGAAAGGGGGTAGAGCTCTTGACTAGCGTATCGTCTCTGAATGCGATTTGATCTAGATCGATACATATCTTATATACATTATATTAATAATTTACTTAACCATTTTTTACACTACTTACGCTCATGTATGACATATTTCTATAAGAAGTTAATAATAAATTTTATATAATAAATTTGCAACATTTAATAAAAATGAAATAAATATAATATGTAATCAATCTTGACATTATAAAAATCTCATCTCAGATTATCTTAGGCCCGACAACATCTTGCATGGAATTAAATAGAATACATGAAATGTATAAAAAAAAAAATATGCATATTAATGTAAATAATTAGGACATTTAAGCACCGTGATGTCAGGTTGGTCAGTCAACTTGTTGAATTTCTCGTGACGGACGCCGCGTCCACCTCCGGCGGCTTAAAACAGCCCTAAAACATCGCGACGAAGCGCATCTCGCGAAAAAGGGACGAGCGATTGGTATATACGATGCGATGCATAAAGCTTTTGGAAGGTACGAGTTGTCGACGCGATCGCAGGAGAATCGAACAGCGGCGGCTACGACACAGTCGTACATTTTCGTCCGCGCGGGCAGGTATTTGTTTAGCCAGCACCTCGATATGACATGATCAGCGCATTAACCCCGCTCGCATTTTTCCATCCGCGCGGTCCTCTTCTGGCTGGCGCCTGCCTGGGATGCGTTTTTATCGATTCGTAGACCCCTGCCCCTCGCGACGGCGCCCGTGTATCTGTATGTCCACCTCCACACTGCCGGCGTACAAAGCATCGATAGAGAAGCATACAGATTGGACTGGGCGTCCCTCTTTTTCGAACGCAACCCTCCCGCGCCCGGGGACACCATCGCGGAACTTCCGAGAGCCCCGGAATAATAAGGCCTCGTGTAGCCACGCGTGTTCCCCTTATGCTCTTTTGCGCTGTTTTCGTAAATATATCCCGCGGCTGTCTCGGAAATATATCGCATTTGTTTCTTATTCGGGACTTATTTTTCGCATTTAACGCCGAATTTCGACCCTCCACTTGTTAAGTTACGATTGGATTATTTCCGACAGAACAAAAGTTCGATCGCGACACATTTCGTGTGATCTTACATAATTTCATTTTACGGAAAAAAAATATAAGAACGCTTTTTTTATTTATTAGGATAAGAAAAGGATAACTTTAATAAATAAACAATATTAATACTAAATCGAAATTTAAAAAAAATATATATATATAAAGTGTTTACAATATTAGAGGATTATATCGATGAAACAAATATTTTTATCCTAGACAAACGCGCGAGTCGATCTTCGCCATGAAAATCGTCTTGCTGAATTTTGAAGCGGACGTAAATTTCACAAAAAAAGAGAGATCTTTTTTGCGATCGCTCAGGCCATTCGCCGTCGAATTTTTTAAAACCACTTTAAATTTACCACCGGGCTGTAAAAGGTGGATAATAAGTTTTATGGGCCGTGCCCATCGACCATCTGCGATCCGTCATAGGCCGGCATCCGCGTTACGTCCGATTCGCTGCCGATACATCGTCATGGATGTAACGCGCAGGGACGGTGTAACGTTACATCCGGTCATGTCCGGCGAGTTTCCGGTATTTGCGGATATGTCGAAACACGGGGGATTGTCTGCTGCTCTCGATCGTCTCCAATCGATACGACGCGATAAAGAGAGCACGCTTCCGGCGCGAGATGTCGACTGGGCAGAGCAAAAAGATCGAGGAAAAAGCAGGAAGTCGGGCGCCGCGGTCGGAGCGGCTTTTATCGCTTACGGAAGTGCCAAACACCTGTGGAATAACGGCGCGGCCAAGTACATCGTTGGCGAAGAAAAACGAAAGTATTTAGCACGCGAGAGAACCCGCAAGATAGGGTTTTATTGCTCGCTGCCGGCGTGCCGGTCGTTTCATATGCACGCGCGGTACACGTACACATTGAAAAGTAAGATCGATACACTCTCCGTCTCGATCCCGGCAATTGTCGCGGAGTCTGCGGAGACCGAGAGAGAAAAGTGCGCCTCGTTCCTCCTCCTTTAAAATATACGTGACACATTTTACTGAGATGTCTCAGTGGATTCTCCAAACACCGTCATCGCATTAAAGGATCGTTTTTACATCAAAATAATGAAATCAATCAGTTAATCCAGAATTAAAACGGACAGTTCTAAAGCTCAGATGATAAGCCCAAAGCTTAGATAGGATATCGAACTTTAAGTGCAAAAAGATCTCGAACGAGAAAGCTAAAGGTCCAGGTCAAATGGTAGCTTGATCGGATTACAGTGCAACACATTTCGCGGACTGGTAAAGTTGGAAGAACACGAGAGCAGCGGTAATCCTTGGCGAATCGGAGGAAGGGACACATAAAAGCGATATTCAGCAAAGAACCGAATCCTAGACTAGGCTGTGTGAGCGCGTTGCGCGTAAGGAGGAGCGGGAGGAGAATGGTAGGAGGGTGGCATAAGCATAACAATCGGAGGTGTATAGAATCGGTTGTAAAGTCAAATGCGATACTTGGCTGACCGTTTCGCGCTGGGGCTCCCCCTCGCGCACTTTCGGGCTCCAGGATCGGCCGCCGGTCCGTAACCATGGTAACCATGGTAACTCAAGCTTATAATGATCTTCTACCAGCGGTCCAGAGTCCGGCACCCTTCTCACTTACCGACACACTCGACAACCGCCCGCAATCGCCGCGCCACTCCGCCCGTCCTCCCCCTCGACGTCGCATCGGTAGGAAGCCCTACACGCCCGCGCTCATCTTATTACAATAAAGTTATCGCAAACTTCGTTTCCGCAACGTTAATCACCAGCTATCTACCTTGGAAAGTATTAGCGGAATACAGGCCATCAGAAGCGGCGCCAGACACAATTTGTAATTTTGTAAACGATATTGGAAAAATATTGTAAAAATAGTGCAACATCTCTTTGTTTCGCCTCTGCTTTGACAGAAAGTACAAATCAGTGATAAACCTCCGTTCATAAAACTTGAGGTTAAAGCACGACGTACGATGGCGTTATGACAGTTGCGGATTAATTGGGCCATTAATATTAACCGTTGAACGATTGTCGCGTATGTCCACGTCGTGGAAAAAAACGCGCCAAGTTACCATCGCGAGAGAGGCCTCTTGAAAAATTCAAGCCGCAGCTCAGCGGCCGCGGAAATTTTCACGGTATAATCCAAATGCAAAAAACCGCGCGCTTTTCTGAAATTCAACGTATTACCGTCGCGCTTGTCTCCGTATTAAGAGACACGCTAAGCGAGTTGTTTCCGTACAAGAGCGAGGCGTTGTAGCGAAACGCCCCGGAACGCGGGGGAAAAAAAACGAACCTTAACTCAATCTGTGTACCCGCTACTGAGAGCCTGCGAGCACCAACGCGCGGCGGCCTATCAATTTTTCAACAGCAATTCTCATTGCGGTGAAATTTTATGCCATAAAAAAATAGGAGTGTTCTCACCCTTCCTCGGCAACATTACATCGGGCCTCTGTCGGGGAACGGCAGTAATGTAAAACGCATTCATTTCAACGTTCCTGCATTCGTAATGTCGCGTCCTGGTATTTTAATCAGAGGCGTAACTATAAAAATTACGTGCCCGCACATACGATCGCGCCTCGGCGCGGGGCGCATTAAATTAAGAACGAACGATTCCCACGTCTAATGAACGTAGTCTCCGATAATGCTTTCCGCAAAGCAATCCGCGGTTATAATGCCGTAAAATAATAGCAGAAATAACGAAAATTAACTGGCATAATATTTTACTTGCGTAATACTTGCTGGATTAATTTTCTCATTCGTTACGAATATCAATAATTTCCTGTAAATGCTTTACGCGAGAGATGAATTGGCGGTAATTACTTGTGAAAAATAATTTTCTATTTATGGCGTATGCAGGGGGGCATCGAAAGAAGGAGAGTTTTATGTAAGGCCGGAAGACGTTCATCTCATGTCTCGATATCACGGGCACCACTAATTAAGATCATTTCTGTGCGATCACGGCGAATAATTTGATCTTCTTAATCATTGGACATTCATCGCATGAAAGAGTCTTGATTTTAAGTGCGGTCTCTAATAATTTGTAATAACGATGCGCTCTTCACGGGTCTGTCATTATTTCGTGGGGTTACACGCTCGTGCAACGGATCATCCCCCTCCCCCCTCCCGCCCTTCACTCCTGTTCCGCGCGCTCGCGCGCGAGCCACTTATGCAAATCATCGGAGGGTTAATTCCGCCCCCTTTCTCTCTCGTATATTTCCTACTGCGTCCGACGCTATTATGCGTAGTTATTTTCGCCGACAAGATTTTTATGGTCCGTGTGCGCACTAAGCGGAACGGAATATAACGCATTTATATGAATCAACCCTCTTCTGATGTAAAAAGGTTCTTTCTTTTTTTTCTTTCTTTTTCTTTTTTTCTTTTTTTTTTTTTTAATGAACGTGTATTCTTACGGCGCTCTTTTTTTGTCATCGATAGAACAACGCCGCCGCGTCGCGAGACTGCATCATTATTCACAATGTATACCGACACCGAATAAATTCAGCTTCGGGAATTAAACACTGTTGTCTGGTATTTTCAGACTGGCGGACACTTTGGCGAAATTTTAGGAAAAAAACATGTGTACGTCAGGGCGTGTGTGCGCACTGCGGAGCGAGAATGAAAAATGGACTTTAAAATCGAATAGCTCCTGTCATATTATAAATTGAATTTTGGCTTCGGGAGCGTGTACCACCGAGATTTTTTTTTCTCCTTTCGCACGGCGCTTTCTCTTTTCCGCTTCCCACGAATTTAGCGTTTATACATGTATATATATACATATATGTATATATACACACACACACACACACACACACATACAAAAAAACACACACACACACACAAATATATATGTATATATATTTTTTCGAACGTCAGTCGCGGCCACGTCGAATATTTTTGACGAATTGATAATGAACGCCCGCGGGAGGAACGGCTTTCTCGAAAGTTGGCACGTAACGCCGTTGACTGGCGCGAGTTTGTCGGCGCATGACGTCGTCGAATTTATCGCTCGACGCTCAACGAATTTATAACCGTAGAATTACGGTGTTATCAAGTATGCGCGGACGATCATTTACGTTTATAAGCATGAGAAAAGTATCGTAACAAATCGGACGATTAATGTTAATTAGATGCCAGTGTTGTTTCCTGCTCGCAACTCGTTTTTAACGTTTCGTGACATCGCAATCGAGATCTCTTGAATTTTAGAGTTATCTTAGCGTATATAGCACAATGAACTTTTATCTTTGCCGTCCCCTTTTGTTTCTTCTCTGTTTTTTTTTCGCGATGGAGAGTGGGAAGCATTTTATTCGCGCAAGAAAAAACTCGGACAGAGACCCGAGTCCGCGTTTATACCGACCATCGTATAATGTCTTTCGTACAAAACTGTCCATTGAAACGTCATACAAATCACGCGACCGCATCAATCTTGAAATCGAGGACGTCTAAAATGACCCTTTCTCGCTTCATAGCTTAAGGCGATGTCTATCCCTGTGCAGCGCGTTTGCGATGCTAAACAAGCGAATGATCACTCCCGGTGAAGTTCCAATGGACTTTAATCTCCACGACATATACTAATATATTGCGGGCTTGGTAAATTATATTAATTAAATTTCTGCCTGTGTTAGTGCCGATACGAATGCGCGTTCCGCTCGGCATCGTAACTGGAACGAATGGCACCGTCGATAGTAAGCAATGGGATAATTACTTCTGGAACGCCTCGTCTACGAAAGCAGATACATGTTTCTGATATTACATGCATATATTATATTCAACGTTTCATACGCAGATATTAATGCTGCTTCCGTCCGTTCGAACCCGACACTTTGTAACGTACTCTTAAAATTTTCTTTTTCGAGGAGTTTCAGAAATGTCTAAAAATAGATTCGTATAATTTATGCAAAACCGTGCGAGATAAAAAAATACACAGTCTCGTTAACGCACAATGCAAGTCCCGTGCTTAACAGTGCTTAAAGCTCCTAGAAAGATTATAAATTGTAATTTCTTCCGATCGCGGTACTATTCCCCCGGCAGTCACCTGCGATTATAAAAGCCCTTTTTATTATCACTCGTGGATTTTATATGATGGGCTATTGTATTCAGATTTTCGCTATTTTTGACCATCGCGCTAAAATTTCAGTGATTAATGCCGCCGTTTCCTTCCATACGATATTTACAATCCTTTCTACATGAACATGTAATTTAGATTACGACACCGATGAAATATAGCGTAACGTTCACGCATATTACGAGAACGCTCGGCACTTTATTAGGTTCTGCGGATGGAGACGAGGCCGGCTGACATCCCCCTTCATGAGGGCGTAATAGAACACCTCCATTTCCAACGGTGGCGTTATCCGGCACTGCCTGTCCTCATTATGCTAAGCACTAGAATCGATAGCATTAGAACGGCGGACTTTACCCGACTGCGCTGTTCCCTCCGCCGCCGCCCCCGCGCCGACGTGGCAACGACCTTCCCCGTCGTCCGATTTGCGTGCAACCCTTTCGTTCCCGCAATCACGCTGGGATAATCAGTATGCAAAGTCCAACCCGGTCCAACATGGACGATTCGCTGTAATGCAAAACGGCCCGAACGCCGGGGTGTTCGATTCCCGTCGGGGATACCATCGCGAGCAGTGCGAGAAACGCGCGCGGACCCGAACGCGTCTGTAAAACCCGAGTCGGGGAAACTGAGAAATGACCAATTTATCATTTTCGTTCGTGGCCGTCCGCGCCCGTTAACCGATGCGCATAAATTGCGAAACTCGGAAACGCCGCTTCTATGCCGCCGCGTTGCGCCGGGGCACGACGATACGTAGGATCGCGAGCTCGGGAGTGAATCATAATGGAATTTTAATAGTATTCTTACCGTTTCCGTGCAACGAATCGCACCCGCGGGAATTTCGCGGCGCATTTTCTCGAAATGCACGAGCCGCGAAAGTTTTGGAGCACCCTCGGATTATCCATATCGTCATAGTGCTCAAAGGAAGGGAAGACCCTTTTGCTCGCGTTTCTGCAGGCGTTGCCCAGGCACGTTCTGCAAGCACGAAAATTCGGTCTTTGTTAAAAATTATGATTACTTTCGCCGCGAAGCAAGGAGTTGATAACATAATCTCACAGCAGAGATGTTATTTGTAATAATCGTTCATCACTTATTACGAACAACATCTCCAGTATGCGATTTTTCAAACGGAAAAAAGAGAAAAGAAAAAGAGAGAAAGCGAAACATATCGGACGGTACAGACACGAGAATGTGGAATAAATAATATATGCCGACCCGTAACGAACGACCGGAATAGCATCGTTGAGCCAATTTCTCCAACGAATCATCCGGCTAATCTTTAACACCAGTATGAGATATTATAAACAACACGTGTGCTCAGTATTTCCTATATATAATTCTGCTATTACATACTGTTATTACGTTTGCATTGAATGTTTACGTCAAGATTTTCTCCGAGACTAATTAAGGACGGCGTCTATATCGATCAAATGCAAAATTTATTCAAAGGGTGAAAAATTTTTTATAATTTAACACGTAAGTCCTAAATCGTTCCATTCAAACAAGGTATTGATATTAATTTCCCCACTTCTTAATATAACGATAATTATATTTTAGTTGGTTTCGATTCGAGATTCACCTGCAGCCTATAAATACCCACGGTGGAGATCGAGGCAGGGCATACCGAGAGACATTTGCATCCAAGTGCCGTCCGTTAGCAATCCTAGCCCAATAATCCCTGTTCCACGTCGTCTATCGGCAGACGCTATCGGCTAATGACAAAACTACAGGCTCCGACAGTGGCGCATTGGCCGCGCGCGGTGTGGACGTCGGTATCAAGTTGTTGCCAGTCCAGTTCAGTTGGACCCTCGCTTCGTTGGCCGAATGATAATTTGCAATACCCTCTTCTCCTCCTCCACGTCCATCTACTCTACTCTACCGGCGGCAACGCCACCTCCATCTCTTCCCGAGGCCGACCCCTGCCGTCGTTCCTCGCCGATCTAGCCCCGCGGTACCCGCGCCGTGTCGTCCCCTCTACGTTCATGTCCACCCTTTGATTACGTCATACCCCGCGCACACCCCCTCCCGGTCCCCAATCCTCTAATTATATTCACTCGGCGCTCCGACTCTCCGGCTCCAGGGGGTCCAATTCCGTTCACCTTTCATTACGAACTGGCTGCGATTCCAGCGATCGAACCAGCTGCGTTTTTCTCTTCCCGCCTCTGTCGCGGCCACCTCCATCCGTGTCGTCTCGTCTCTGTCTTGCCCGACAGGCGCCGGTGCCTGCGTTCGGTGACAGAGCGATTCTCTCCGTCTCTCTCTTTCTCTCCTTCTCTCTCTCACACCCGATATCCGACCCTCGTCGTCGGTGCATGTGCGGCCCGCGACGACTACCGGATGGAAGCGGTATCTCGGAATTTCCGCGTGCGTGCTGAGCGCCGGCCGTGTGATCCGGGCGAAGGGAGAAGGATTAAGTTCCTCGATAACCGTGCCGCAAGTCTGGCTTAACCGGTCGACAATCGTTGTAGCGAGTTATGTCACGTCGGTTCTTCGCGGTCGGATTTTCTCTTATTTTTCGTTCTTTTCCATTTTGCTCAACTGCTTCTCCGTTTAATGACACGGCGCGGGGAGTTGTGAAAATACACGGGCGGGTAAACGAGGGATCTGAAAGTCGCGGTTTGCTTTAATACCAACGAAAATTCCTGCGGGACGATAAAAAAAGAGAATAAAAGACGTATATTACGTCGATTTTCCAATGCTTAGAAACTTCTTTGGCGATAACGAACGGCGTTAACGTAATAAGTCAGTGTACTATCTGGTACGCTGGTACACTGTAACTAACTAGTGCTTGAAATATGAACGAAATTTAAAGCGAGACCTAAGACCCGCAGTATTCCACGCCGTATACTATACGTCAGAATTATCAGTAAGACAATACGAGATACATGCGAAGGTTCGCATGCTTTTCGGCGCTTAGACATAGTAATATTCAAAAGAAGGGGCGTTTCGCCGGTGGCTGCGGCGGCATATCTGCGGCATTGGATTATTCAGACGTGTTGATTATAAACTAATGGGCCCTGAAATATAGAGATATTATACGCGACGCCGCCAGTTATTACTTCATAATTTCGAGGAAAATTATTAAGGAAGGAAGTGCCTGTCTGCTCGCGTAAGAAAGCTTAGCTATGGTATCTCTGGAAGATTTAGGAGGCTCGCGCGTGCCACGAAAAAGCCGCTTTCCGCATTTGTAAGAACTTCGTGCGAATCGTATATGCGTGAATGTCATTGTCGTGTACTTTTCACGTTGTTTGATGAAACATATCGTACCGATCGTTTCATCAAACAGTCGATGTCTGCTCGTGTTAAAAAATATTTATATAGTAAATCTTTAGATATAGTAGATATTTATATAATAGAGCGTCATGAAAAAAGGAATGTCAGTTGGTTAAGGGAGATATATCGACATTAATTAAATAAAAATCATCATCATCATCATTTATATCTAGTTGTCGAGACACGACACTACAAATGAGTTCCTTCTACGGAGTATATGCACCGAAATTCTACGTAGGAACGTGGACGATAGTTAAGCCCTCCTTAGCCTCTACGACGAGAATGCAGAGGAACGTCAAGCGCCCGGTTGTCGCGGTCGCCACGGAACTCCATTATTACTCGCCAATTAGCCATGATTAAAATATTTGGGCATCTCGCGTGCATCCAGAATATTAATATACACGTGATCCGCGGCGTACGGAAGCGGCGATTATATGGAAATGCGCGAGAGTGATAGGAAGGAAAGCCCTCCTTCATTGATTAAATAATCCCACAAAAGCTCTCGTTAATGACTTATTTATTACGCCAATTATGTTCGGCCTATTAGCCATGGTGTGCATGCGCGCGTGATGCTAACGCATCCAGATATCACTCCGATCGTAAATTTCATCGAAATTACCCGAAAATCGTCGTTAATTGCGTATTTACACGCGCAGTTAGTTAGTCAATCGGCTAGTTTTATGATGACGCGCGGTTTGCGCATCATGTAGGTATTTGATAAAACGCTCCGGCGTTATACCCCTATTCTCATATGCCGTAGATAATCGCTTCCACTCGCATTATCGCGAATCGAAGCTTCGATCATGAAAAAACAATTTCGGTCCTGATAAGAGTCTCTTTCAGCGCGAGCGATAAATCTTCTTCGGATAATTTTCAAATTTCGCTTTTCGCATCGGTTTATCTTTTACTCTTTACCATGACAAAAAACACCAGTTGTCAACCCGAACGAATATATAATTACTTTCACATTTTGCAATTTACTTTGGTCGAATATATACGAAATTATACTTCGGCCAAATTACAAAAAGCTTTAGTAAATAGATCGCATGGATTTTTTTTGGCACGTATAGCTCTGGCGCAGTGACAATTTTAATCTATACTTTAGGGGATAAAATTAAATTAAATTGTTAATTAAATTAACATTGCCGCTTTCGTTTACGCAGAAATTCGTTGGCCTCATATAGGAATATTACCTTTCTTCAATCGTTGTTTTAATTTTAGGACAACAGAATGTTACTAAAGTGAAAAAGTCAATCTCATCAAATTTACGTTACGACGATAATTTACATATCGTACGTAAGCGCGTACAGGTAATCGCTGCGCGCAAAATTAGATCATACTTTTCAGCGTTCTCAGCCTAATCCAGTCGCCGTGCATAAATTGCTCGGGAAAATCGTTAGGCATAGTTTCGAGCTTGGAGAACCTGTCGACTTGGAAATTACGCGAGCATTCTTTGAACTTTCGGCCGGCAATAATTCAAAACTTTCGGACCTAATCGATATCCCCGAACAGGCCTCTTCTAAAATACATTCGAGTTAAAATAGGGGAACACGATCTCAAAATATAGATAATCTATTCTCTTCCTTGGAATTTCTGCGACCGCCCTTCCCCTAGGATTTCTTCAACAATCTAGAAAATTTGACGCGTGCTAAAACTGGCGTTCAAGTGCCGTTTTAAAATAGAAATATTTCACAAGAGTGTCTTGAACCTGGCACGGTTCGACCGACGTTCTTGTAATGGACGTCCAGTGGTCGAATTTAATTCGAATACGGTATAGCGACTAGGGTGACGGCTCGGCCAGAAACAGAACCAGAAGAGGGTTGCTAAATATTCAGCATTACGCTCTGCATAAATTCATTTCATTATAGCGCCACCAAACATTGCTTTTGATGCTTTCCGCTCGTCCCCTGCAACTAAGCCACCCGCACCACGGGTCCCATAGTCCCGTCCGTAACCGCCAACGGCGCTCCATCCGCCGCATTCCGCTTTCTCACCCCTTTCCTTCTCATCCCATTCTTCCCGATCGCCGACCCCTTTCTTGCCGTAAATACCGTCAAGTCCGTTCGACGTCCGCTCCGCTCGGTGAACTCGGAATCCCGAGATATGACTGACACGTAAGGTCGAGCATGATTTTAACGATGCGCATCTTGTTTCTTCCTCCGTCCCCCTCTCCCTCCCCGTAATTTATTCCCTCCCCCTCCTCTCCATAATTCGTTATTTGGTCGCCACGGCAGTTATCGTTACGGTACGATAAAAGTCAGTTTTAATTGTCGCTGATAACAAGCATTTTTAAAAGTACACGCCGCTCCGCGATTTTTTTAGCGTCGCAAAAAAAGTCAGTCGATATTGCAGTCAGTTTAATAAAGCCAATAATAACAGCCATAATGACGCTATTAACGCGCATGGATGTTGCAAAAATGCATTAACCGTATATCGAGGCGAAAAGCCTTTGCGCGCCGTTTGCGATAAAAAAAAAGGTCCGCGTACGCCAATCGCCGACGCAACGACAGCCTCGGTTATGGCGACTAAATTATACTCTCCTTTTTTTTTCGAGCCCGTCGGCGTGCGAGCGCCATTATTCGGCTCGTAGGAACGTTCGATCTGGGCTCATCGAACTCACGATACGTCAGTGGCACGCAGAGAAACGCGAAGCACCGTGGTGTCGTGGTGCGGCAAAGCGGCAGGCCGGCCTCTCATGCATA